AGGTGGATATCGAGAAGGCCCCATGATGTCCAGTAATGCACATAGACCCAGTGAGTGTAACAGGTTTCGTAGTACATCCTCAACAGATAAGTTACAAGATGCAAGACAAGCACGGTTGTGTTTTACACGTTTGCAAGAGGTGCATACAAAGGTGAACTGTGAACCAGTAAGCAAGTTCAGTGATAAGCTCAATGTAAACCCCAGGTCTGACTCCGAAATGTGTGACGATAACGGTGCGGTCAAGAAGTCTGTAGTTGCAACTGGTAAGCCATTGTTGAATAGAGTGTCACAGAATAGAGTTGCTGATTCAGAGTGCAGTTCTGACTCCATAAGTTTACAAGGTATCACTAGTCAGATTTGAAGATATAGGTGATAGAAGGAAGTCAGCAAATGAACTCTGCGACGATTTTCCAACCTAGGGCGTCAACCTGAGAAGGGTTGTAGGCGTACTGCTGTAAGTCCTACAATTCTCCAAAGAGTAGCGCATCAATGAGCAGTACAATGTGTTTGGTGTGTGATTTTGTACATATGTTCATATTGTATATACTGAATTGATATCATCTGTCTGTTGGTAATTCTGTTTGTGTCCGGACGACTTCCACTTGTGTCATCAACCTGAGAAGGAATGTAGGCGTACTGCTGTAAGTCCTACAGTTCTTCAAGTGTAGTTTGTTGTACCAGAATCCACAACATTTGATGTGTTGATTGTACATATGTTCGTGTTAAATAGTTGTGTGAGTTCCAATTATTGTTATTGTTGAAGAATATTGTTTGTGTCCGGACATTCCACAACTTACAATGATCAACCTGTGAAGGTTTGTAGGCGTACTGGTGTTAGCCCTGCGATTCTTCAAAGGAATTCCATCAAGACATGAACTGCGAGTTTGTGTATACTGTTTGTATATATGTGTGGTGTGTCATATCAATTGGTGTTTTTTGGATTCATTGTGTTTACCCGTTGTTTTCGTACCTTGTTTTTATTGCATAATTTTGTTAAAATTTTCGTCGTGATTACTTCTGAAGTTGTGTCCACTCCTCTACATCCATGAATGAATTGATTGATGCTAAGGACAGCAGATGGGTCGTATACGCCAGGGAGGCTAGGCTATTGCTGAGAATGAAATGCACACAGAGATAATTGTTAGCTGCGGTCCGACACGCCGGGGAGAAAGAGTGTAAACGACTGAGGCTCTCATGCGTCACCGCTACTAGAACTGAGGCAGAATGAGTGACAAGCGATTTCAGTGGTAATTGGTAGTGAGTAGATAAGAGGATGTGCGTAGAGTATCATGAGTTGGTGCTATGGTCACGTTGCATTCTGTAAGAGTCATTCTAGCAAGTGGCGATTGTGTTGCAAGATGTCAAGAGGAGGTCTCTGTCTGGAGGCGCAGGTCGTCAGCGATGTGTGAGATTGTGCTGTGGGTATGCTTGTGGTGTGTTGGCTTTTCTGTTTGTTTTCCATTTCAGCTCTGTCCGTGTGACCCAGGTTCTCGCAATGGCATCCAAGTCAACGTGTATTGGTCGTGAAGGAAAAAAGGGTTGGATCCCTTTTTTCCCGGGGAGTGTCAATGTAGTTGAAGGTTGAACGATCAATTAGTGGTTGTTTGCTCAAAATCAACTTCCACAATTTTCGCGGAGGCATCAATACGACAGTCATCGTCTCATCGGTCGCTGTTCGGAAAGAAGAGTAAAACATCGTCAGAAACCTTAGTTCGCTTATTCTTTTTATATGTTGGTGTAACAATAAAGAAATCTCAAGCGGCAGATCGGTGTTTTGGTTTTTTCGTCCGTTATAACTAAGCGTTTCTGAAATCTTCAAGGAACAGTGTGGGCCCCTACGTAGCGAGAGCTGAGCATTAACGGTTTATGAGACGTGATTGACACTTCTTCCTTGAGGAGGAAGATGTATATGATCCACATCCTCACCATGAAGGAACACTAGGTCCAGAATTGAAGAGGAATTCTATGAGTTATTCCGCGTAAGCTTAATGACATGTTGTACCAGGGCTAACAAAATGCCAGATTCCAGCAGTTTATGATCAAAGGAGTTGACTGAAAATGGGTTTGTAAGCCTCGTTCAATCATTGTTGGGGCACTGAAGCCGCTGACTACGAGACTTCGACATTTCGATGTCCATGAGCCTAGCTTTTCTATCAGAAAGTCATCTGCACTGCGGTCAGGACTGTGGTATACAGCAATCAGGTCAGTGTCTTGGCCTATGCATTTAAGTCTGTAGTGTAGAAGTTCACATGATTCACCTTCGTGAGCAAGTGCTTCTATGCCACGTACGGTTGGGCATTTATTGAGGTAGATGACTACGCCACCTCCTATGGGGTCTGGTCGGTCCATTCTATGCACTTCGAAGTTTGCCAGATTAACTCCATTACCAGTGACGCTGAGTGTGAGCCATGTCTCTGTGATTATATCCGGATTTCCTGAGTCTATCATATTACCCAGATCAGTCCGTTTGTTCAACAGGCCGTGGGTAGCGTGGCGAACTGTCGTTTCAGCTCGGTGCTTCTGCGGTCTACCTACAGAGGTTTCGGGATAATCAAACTTGGAACTGTGATAGCCCAAAATCCCATAATCTTGAGGTTTTTAGCCGTTTCGGCGACGTTCGCTTAATTCTGGGGTGGCAGACTCTCTTCTCACACAGTCTGCTAGGCACCAGTTGGCACGGACGTATATGCCTAATCCTTTAAGAGTCTGAGAGTTTCTTAGAATGGCATCCCCCTCTTCATCGGAGTTTAGTACGACTTTGAGCAGGCATACTGGCTGATTTACTGCAGAGTCAGGCTTTTGGCCGATTATGTATAAGCTGTGCATTGTTATGCCCGATACTGTTTCTGGCAGTAGCTTATCTAAAGGGGGCCCGACCAAGTTGAGGTCGTGCTCACACTTGACCCTGGGATCGGAGACCGGTGATTCTTCCACTTTGTGGAGAATGAGCAACCCGTCAGAGATGAAAGGTTTGCCTGCCGTGGCTTTCTTGCCCTGCAGTCCAAGTGTCTCCCTGTCCTTTGTGGACAGTGTGGTCTTTATGGTGTCGTTAACTCTCTCTCTTTGTAGGAGAATGCAGTGCACCATTCACTGGTATCCTCCTCTACAATTGTAGTCGACTTTATCTGCCTACTGTCCACTGGTGTGGACGAGGCTTGATCTACAATTCCCCGAGCAACCCCTGGCACGCCTCTTCTTCGTGCGAGTCCTTCCATTACTGCCACTGGATGACTTGCTCGGTATCGTAGGGGCAGCATGGGTGTCTGAACTATGGTGAGTGCTCTTCTGTGCTGAAAGGCACTCACCCCCTGACGGAGACGCATCAGGAACATGTATTGTTTTGTCGATGACGCTAGTTACTTTGTCGGTGTCTGAGCAGTATCCGCTCCTCTCCTGTGGCGGCAGATCATTGCAGTCCATGAGCTTTAGAGTCCCACTGAGATTGGCATTGGCTTCAGCTATACGAAACAGTCATTGCACAGTCAGTTCGCCAGAGGTTTGCAGCAGCGCTTATATGCTCCGGGAGTTAGGTTTGTGCACATGTTATGAAACCATAACCTGCAGTTATCACACTGCATTCCTTCTTCAACTGGAAATTGACACATAACCCTTCCACAGCGGTTTCTTTTGATAGGCATGCTTTTCAGAGAGATTCGGGGCAAAAGCATTCTAATATGACCTTACAAATATGACCCCTATAAATCAGTGATAAAAAACCAATGAGTGCATACAGTGGATATAAATATATATAACTATTAAGTTTTAAGAACACAACTTCCTATAATTAACTCAAAAACTCAAAAACGAAAAGTAAACTATCTTTGATTTAAAGAAAATCTGTTGACTTCGGGAGCGTATAACACAACAAAAGCCGAAATTAGACAAGAGCGTGTACAATTCACTCCCTTTTCAAAGTTCGCACGGCAAGACAAAACTTTCAAATAAGTCTAATGATGATGAAGTCAAGTGGTCTAGCAATGAACTGTGTGCCATAGTGCCAAAACTCTCGGGGAACTCCCTCTTACTTCCACATTCCGTCACACAACTACGTTTTTTAAATCTGAACTTATAGTCTTAATTATTTCACTTAGCACATGTAACTGATTTTCACGCTCCCTCCGGAAACTCTTGACATGAAGGATCGCTGAGCACTGGAGGATCAGCGACATGAACCACACAACACAACGGTCACATTCTTAGTCTCTCTAACAGAACTGAACCGTAGGAAATTTCTGTGATAAGTGGGGGAGAAAGAAAGATCTTCTGTATGCAGAACTCAGGCGCCAACCACACGTTTTTCGCATCTCCCGGGTGATTTCGGCTGTGTTCGTCAAGAAAGAATGACATTTCTGTCTTCACAAGTATGACATAGGTTTTAAGACTGTTATGAAATAAATGAAATTCCTATCTAGCCTAGCGAGTATGGAAAAAGAACAGTCGAGCATCCAATGAGTGCCTCAAATGTCTAGGGTTATAGATTAGGCCCATTGAAAGGAGAAAGTTTATTAAAACATCAGACGTGAAACTGATCGCACAGCAGCAGATTACTGGTTCTAGGAGACCATTTATTCAGATCGCAGCAACGGAACATATACAAGCGTGTAGTGCATAAGCCTGCATCTTAATTCGTAAGTTTTGATCGAAGCCATTGTCAAATGTTCAAATCGGAGAGGATCACGAGCCTAGAGTCGTGCACTGACTATGAAAATACTTTCTTGAGAAGCAGCAACACCTTATGCAGCGAGCACCAGAAGTGCGTTACTTGCCTCACGAATATAATGATCACGCACATGTTCTATCTTTTCAACGTCTCAATATTGTTAGAAAATCACAGATTGGAACTCTATCACTGTGAAGTACTGGTTCTATTACCCAATCACTATATCTTGGGATTGAACCGAAAAAGCACTGTATCTTTCTCAACCGGCCCATTGAAGAAGGGAACAGCCAGGCCTTCTGTCCCCAGGGAAATAAATAAATCTGAAGTCCGATTAACTTACAATTTTGATCTGAATAGCATCGTTTTCCCTCTGATTTTAACATTCATTTTAATAACATTGATCGGTAAAACTACTTTAGACAAGACGAGAACTAGTATAAACATTCTGTGACAAAGTTTTTACAGACCCTTGTTAAAACTACTCTTATCTAGTGGTACAGCGCCGTTTTTGAACTTCAGTATTAGTGTGATGTCTACTATCAGTTTGAGAATAAAATCCCCTAAGGAGGAGAAGACTGTCTCTGTATCCGGTTCATGCTCAGTTAAGGAAGTAAGTTTTTCAGCTGTATTGATGCTGATTCTAACAATGAATAGCTACGGGATGAAGCATCGAAGGCGTTTGAAACGCCATCGGAAAGACTAATTCTTATATTTGGTGGGAAGATTCTTAAGGATGAAGACATTTTAGAACAACTCAAGATTAAGGATTCTTGCACTATTCACTTGGTGATTTCGGTAAGTTCTAATTTTATGATACTAACATTATACAGAAACAACAACAGGTGTGTTGCAATTATGTTAGGTTTGATTGAATTTTAGCCTCCACAGGTGAACCCAACGGGCACATCTTCAGTAGTTACAGATGTAAGGGAACCTCCAAGGGAAAGCCGGAATGCTGGTACAACTCAGAATGCTGGAAGTGAGTGACTTTTATCATATGCCATGGTTTGTCTTAGTAAGACTTGCTAATGGGGTTTTTAATTAGTGTGTAAGAACTCACACTTTTGAATAGTTGTGTTTCCTTTTACAAACTAGTGTTACTACCAGTTACTCCTTCAGGACAGTGCTTAGAATAATCAAGGAATAAGGTAGCTGTATTTAATCTCACTTACCGGAAAGCTCATCATAGGACTACTCACTGCTCAAAGTCGACATGAAAGCTGTATGTTTTTACGACTTATTGGTTTGGAATGTAAATCATAGCCATAAAGCGGTATAGTTGTAGTTCATTGGAAGACTTGATAACTTATGCACCAATGATTTTTCTCGCTATGCAAAACTCGATTAGGAATTCTCGCAGACACCTGCTTGTAATGCAGTAGAAATCCATTTCTTGTAATTAAGAGGCTTAACGAAAACAGCAGCGAAAACTTATGGTAGCGACTCAGAATAGTCATCTGTTTAGCTAACACAGGAAGTTTGAGTGATGTTTATGATGAGCAGTGAAATACGAATCAGGGGATATAGGGTACGTTTCTGCCGGAATACTGTTTCATCCGACAGTTGTTACAGTAAGTTACAAGCGACTTAAGGTCAGGTCAGCAAAACACAAGATTTTGGTGGTTTTAGACTCATTGATTCCTATCAGCCACGCTGAAATAAACTTTTGGGAGCACAGAGAGTACTATTCTGGTTCTCGGGAGTCCAGAGGTTGTAGAAGTTACTGAACTAAACTGAGATTTCGACGTGGAACGTCACACAGAAATGCATCATTTCAAGTTGCAACATTTCAAAAAAGTGCGGAAAAGCAGAGCGAAGAGACGTAGGATGACTACACTAAAAGCGATTCACCAGGGAAGTAATATGATTGATTTGTGTAAGCTTAATAGAAAACAACTGGTGTCAAGTTTATTCTCAAATTACAATACCTGATTAGCCTGGTATCATGAGTGACAATCGTAAAGCAAGTGAAGTAGCACGATGGTTTATACAAATTGATACGGGAGTCACCGAACAGCGGTGATCGCTAGCCCGATCGAAGAGATCTAAACGTCGGAGGGCCGTTTCATTCCTCCGTGTATGCGGTTAAACTTCTCAGGAGGTAGAATAGGTTCACTATCCTCCTAGGAGCTAGCTGTCTCAGCTTAGTTAAACTGATTAAACCACCCGAGCTGTGACCCATGTACATCCCTCTGAGCGACCGGATGATTTAAGGTCAACAACATACTGACTGTGATTTGACTGGCCACAAACATCTAATTAGCTGAACGAAGAAATGGAAAAGGCGGTATTCAAAGATCATGGTTCAGATTACGGATTAGATTGATGCGTTAATTAAGGTATGAAAACGTAACATAATTTCCCTCCCACTGGAATTAATAAACTGTCGTCTTAGTTTTGAAGAAAGCAGATATTTAGCGTTCATAATCATTTGTGTCTATAGCCTTAGGTATAACCAAAACTAGAGTTTTTGTACATAGTCATGTGTACATCTACCAGAGCTGCACCTTTTATTGGTAATGTTGCTCAGCAACAGCTTGCATGTCCATGCAGTTGGCATTACACCAAACCTATTGTGTGAAGACTAATGATACCACTTGACTGTCTGAACCCTGGTAGTTGGAGCTGAGTCTAAACAAGTCGAGCACGCAGGCCAGACTGGTGAGCTACACAGTCAGTGGTGGACTACATAATGCATGTACATAGAATAATAGAATGTAGCTCACCTTTTAGTCACTAAGGAAATGGATGTCATTGGTTTCTCGACAGAGAGAGCTGAGAGTTCAGATGTGACTTACAGTAACTTTGAATTTATGAAATTCTATGGAAATAATTGATTATCATCATTATTAGTGTTTCCAAGTCATCATTCCAAGCATTCATATTTTCTAAAAGTACTCATGATTAAAATTCTTTTTATATTTTCAGTGAATACCTTTGCTGGTATGCAACAGGCTATGCAGGCTCAGGTGATGCAGAATCCCGAACTTCTTCGAAATATGCTAGATAGCCCATTAGTCCAATCTCTAATGAATAATCCAGAGGTTATTCGTAATTTATTTCAGGCAAATCCTCAAATGCGTGATTTGATTGACGTAAGTGTTAATTGACAACCTTCCCCCCCAACTTTATTAATTCTTTCTGTTCACTCTGTGTCCATCATTCTATCTTTTACACAACATTATCATTGTTATTATTTACAGCGTAATCCAGAATTAGGCCATATGCTGAACAATCCAGATCTTCTTCGACAGTCTATGGAAGTTGCTCGTAACCCAGCTCTGATGCAAGAAATGGTCCGTAACTATGATCGAGCAATTTCAAATCTAGAATCGCTCCCAGGTGGTATGAATCATTTGCAGCGGATATTTCGTGATATTCAAGAGCCAATGATGGATGCAGCTACTAGCATAGGTGCAACTCTAAGTGGTAATCAATCGAGTGGTAATTCAGATCAGAATCCTTTCGCAAATTTGGCAGGTAATTATCAAACTTGATATGAATAACAGTAGCTTTTTTTTAAAACATGTGGTTTTTTACCTATTTAAGTTGACAGTGATTGTAAAAAGAACCTTTTATATTCACAGAGTTGGTAGAGTGCAGTGTAAATATTGAGTCTTATTCTTTAGTTACTGGATGTCTGTATTAAATCATCGGTTGTGTCTAACGACAACATAATCATGTTGTATCATTCATTAACGATTTAGGTGGTGTCAGACAAGGAGCTCCAGCCACTGAACCTATGCCGAATCCATGGGCACCACCAGCTACAAACAACTCGACTTCAAGTAATGGTACGTCAACGGCAGCAACTGGTGGTGGTACAGCAAATACAAATCGTAATAGTGATCATGTGCAGAATATGTTGAATCAGCTCTCCTCTAGTCCAGAGTTGGTATCAAATGCTTTTCAAGTAAGTTTGCCTCCATTCATTTATTCGTATCAAGTACACTGCATGTAAACACTACATCAAAAATTATTGAGTGCAATTTATAGCCCTAAATGGTTCAGTGACGTTTTCATTTATATTCATTTTAACATATTCGATAATAAATGCCACATGTGAGATACGGGTTCAATTCCTGACTGATGTGCTCTTAAACCTCGCCTAATTTCCCAGCCAATAAAAGGCTGTCAATTCCATCTCGGTAAAAGTGACACCATCGTTACTGCAACTCCAGGGCTTGAAGCTCAATGTTCCACTGGGAACTTACTCATGCAGCCAGGTGAGGGCTTACGGCGAGTTGTCATCTGTAGTGGTGACAACTAGTGGTGTCCGTCAAGGATGCCCATTATCCCCATTTCTATTCAACTTCATCATAGATGTACTAATGGACTTAACCCTAAGTGACTTCAGCGACTTGGGGATTGACTTGCTACCAGGGAATAATCTCGTTGACTTAGAATATGCAGATGATATAGTCCTTCTAGGCGAAGACGCTGACAAAATGCAGAGTCTTCTGAACACGAGCTGCAATCTATGAATGTTTTACATGCGATTCGCTCCTGCCAAATGCAAGATGATGTTACAGGACTGGACTACACCGACTCATAGCTTAGAAATAGGAAGTAAAGTGATACAGCACGTTGACCGCTTCACTTATTCGGGAAGTTGCGTCAGCAAACGCCAACGGGTTGATCTCTGACGAAATCTCACTACGGATGCAGAGGGCTAGTTTCGCATATGCCAGTTTACGCCGTCTCTGATGTAGACGTGATATCCGGCTGGCTGTCGACCAGAGGGCGGGTATACTGCTCAGCAATCCACTCCGTCCTCCTCTATGGCTGTGAGACATGGCCATTGAGAGCGGAAGACATGAAAAGATTAACTGTCTTTGATCATAGGTGCCTGCGTTCTATCTCCCGTCTGAAGTGGCATAATAGGGTGAACAATATTGAAGTTCTAGGTAAGCAGGAGAAATCAGTCGACGAGGTTGTGAAGTTACATAGACTGAGACGATTAGGACATATGTTACGTATGCCTAGTCATCGCCTTCTTCGTCGAGCGGATATACAGTCAGGCTGGAAAAGAGCTAGCGGCGGTCAAACAAAAACATGACGGCACCAGTCAATGAAATCCACAACAGTTAGTTTAAGCCAGACAAGTAGGAAGGTGTAGACTTCCTAACTGGTTGAGGTCTTCCGGACGGTTAAAACCAATTGTGACTGGAAACAATTAATAATATGGCTCAAAATCGTTCTCAATGGCTGGTGCAGATGCATTCACTCCTTGTGACTTATGATTTCCAATGAAATTATATCGTTCTTCGTTATTACTATTCCTTTTTCTGACACCTCTGTTTACTGTCTCTACTATGCATTTCTTCTACTTTCTTCTCTTGCCTTGTGTGCTACATGGAGGGAGTGTGGCGACTTGAACTTGTGCACATATGTGCAAAGGTCTATGTCGAAAACAGACATACAAACAAACTGGGAACGTACAGAAATAAATAAATAATAATAATGCCATATGGAAACTGATGAGCTATTTGTGTGCGAAGCTCTCTCTATACCATTGTTTCAGCTGTCGTGTCCCAATGAACCACAACTATTATGGTTTATTGCCAACTGCATAACATTGCAAGTGGGTTTTGTTACGAAGGTGACTGAGTCTTAGGACGATGAGTGATGCTTGAATCTTGAAAAGACGAATGAACCAAGAGTTTAGGCTCTATTCATTTTACAATGAACTCGGAATGGCTTAAAGGTATAAAGGGAAAAAAGAGTGTTAATAGCGGTAGAGATATGAATATGATTAGATACGTATTATAAGAAAAGTTCACAACAGGTTGTACTCTAACATTTTAATTCATTTCATAGTCATCTTCGATCGAATGTACAAGTCATATCTGAAAACTATTTATCTATTACCTATTGGGCTACCTCATCAGAATAATGCATATTTAATTTGATATTCGCCTGTTTTTTTTGTAACCAGGTTCCATATGTACAAGCTATGCTGGAAGCGATGAGTGCAAATCCATCAGTTATGGAAAATTTGATTATGAATAATCCTATGATTTCTAGTGTGAATCCTAATGTGCGTGATCAAATGCGACAAATGCTTCCTCAGTTAGCCAATCAAATGAGTCAACCATCATTTATGAATATGCTATCCAATCCACGTGCCTTGCAAGTAAGTCATGGATGAATTCCTCCCCTCCCTCCCTCCCTCCCTCTGTTTATTTCGCCATTTGTTTGTGTAATATGTAAGAAGTATTGTTTTCTATTATTATGACATTATTATTGTGTAAGACTGGTAATTTATAAAGCGTAAGTAGCCATGTTGGATTATATGTAATGTTACTTTTAGTGAATCTGGACTCTGAAGATACCCCGGTCCTACCAGTGACTGTTGTTAGATCTATTTCACTTCCAATCTGAGCCGAGTAGAACAAGCTATAGCGTATACATTCTATTTTTTATATCTGGAGATAACATTGACTATTCCGTGATATACATTATTTTCAATACAATGTAGGTTTGTTCTTCAAGCTCACGTATTTCAGGATAGAGAAGTTATGATGACAGACTCGTTTCTCTGTCCTTCATCGTCTACCTTTCTCAAGTAAGTCCTACCCCACTGCCTTTAAGTGGCGTGGCAGTGGTCCTCACGACAGTGAAAAAGCGAATGCAAAAGTCTGATGCTTACAACCAGACTGCTGAACATGTTAGTCTTCCTAGGGCATTTGGGAAATCCTAATTCCAAATATATGGTGTACGTGAGCTCCAGAATCTGTAAAGACCGAGTGGCTTATGAAATTGTTTCGGCCACCAGCTATCACTTGATGGACGTAGCTTCTGACGCTGCTCCACTACCTCGTGGGGATCAGACTACAAGTCAAAGGCTTGGGGAGGACGGTTGGCCCCTTAAAGTAATCACCTGCTTCGGTTCGGACATTATCCCAGCTCTCACGCGAACTGTGGAATTTTGTGTAGCTACAATGTACGAAGTTCGTGTTCTTATAGTAATATCTTTATTCAGTTTATATGATGTTTGCCGTGTTGAGATTATCTCAGTATTTCAAGTCGAATACTTATTAAAGAATAACCGATTTTGTAATCCTATTGTTTTGTGATTCCAAACCATTTTGAAAACATCTTGTCATCCACTGCTTCTCAGTGGATGATTCAGTTTTTACGTACAATTCGCGTGTATTAAACATCGATTTCATCTTATTGATTTCCTGTGCAAAGTACTCATGACAAATTAACTTTTATACTTGAGCCTATTGTTTAGTGCGTTGCTCAACTATGGTGGGCCGATTCTTTTTCTATTCCTTTGCGTTTCCAGAGGAACATAAAGCTTCAAGCTAGAGCTTCGAAGTTTCAGTAACAATAGTGTTTAGTTTTATGGGATGAGGTTGCTGGCCTCATACCCACCTGACCTTACCTCTTCATCAGTCTTATTACTGGCGTAGTGAGATAGAAGTGCGTCGACCAGGGATCGAACCCCGGACCGCCTGCATGGTTGACGAGCATTCTACCACTGTGCCACCGACTGTAGACTGGTAGTTACTGTCCTAATATGGTGGTGGGGCTTGCACGTAGCAAGTCGTTTACACTGTTGCGGATGTCAGCGCGATTGTACTGCTGGTGAGTAGGGATGTAACGGCAGTAAGATGCTCCCCTCAGATAACCAACAAGCAGGTTGTACGGCTTCTCCTCTCTGCCCGCGGGGAGGTAGGGTTGACGCTGAGAATTTTTCATCCCGACTTTCCTTGCAGTAGTCCATAGCGTGCGATAAGATCTTAATGCGGATGCATCTCCGAAAACCACTTCAAACAGCCTGTGTATGTGATTGAGTCTCAAGCATTTGGCCCTTAGACTCCGCGATTACGCTACACTTTACGCTTATTTCTTATTCAAGTACTTCAAAAATAAATCGACTTCCATGGTATTGCAGCCGGGAAACAATAATCGCCTACGCACTTCTGTAAGCGCACAACACAAGGCTTTCTTAATCATTATCCACCCTCACCTTCTGGTCAGGTGTGTAATATAACTATATTGTATTTCTATCTCGTATCCTTCTATTCGCATCTAAAAAATGTGTTTTAATTATCAATTTTAGGATATAATAAACAAATGTTTTTCTTAAATACAATCTTTCTCATAGGCTATGATGCAAATCCAGCAAGGTCTTCAAACGCTACAACAAGAAGCCCCAGGTGTATTAACCAGTCTAGGCATGTCTGCGCCTACTGTTGGTCCAGGTTCAGTTCCGCCGGCGACTCCTGCCACAACGGATGGATCAACAGTTTCAGCTCCAGGGAGTAACGCTGATTCCACCACTGGATCAACAACAACAACCACAGCACCAGGTGATCGTACCACAGACAGTGCAGCTAATCCTCCGAATCAGGCTGAATTAACTACACTTTTAGCCAGTATGTTAAATATGATGTCAACAAATAATGGTGGGTTAGGTGCTGGTGGTGCTACAAACAATGTGGTGAGCAATTTTCATGCATGATTTTTCATGTCTGTACGTTTTAAATCACCTGTTTACGTTTTCTAACCAATTTTTTTTATTCTATTTTCTTTTATTTTTTTTTGTAAACAGCCACCTGAACAACGATATCAAGCTCAACTTGAAGTTTTGGCCAGTATGGGATTCGTAAATCGAGAGGCTAATTTACAGGGTAATTATAGTTCTCAGTTAACTTAGTTTTTTGTGTGCTCTTTTTATTCAACCCGGACGAACTTGAACTATTTAATTTGTAAATGGAATCCAGGACAAAGCGCATTTCGTCCTATTCGGGACTCGTCAACTGGATGTACCTGCATTACTCAGTGAGTGATGGTGTTCCCATCGAGGCTCGAACCCAGTACCCATAATTTCAAACGCCAAAGCGTTATCCACTAGACCGCTTGAACCACGAGAGCTGGCCACCTTTTGTGCAACGGGTCGTATTAATTATTTAATTGAATTTTAGATTTTCCCGTCGATTGATTGGACCGTTAACAGGTCAGGTTAACATGTCAACCTGAGACCGAGCACTTCAGTTCAATCAATCGACGGGAAAATCTAAAATTCAATTAAAACTTAAACTATTTTGTTGGTTAGCAGAAAATATCTAACTGCATAGTTAGTTTTCGATTGTTCTAACTACTGTTGTGTTGTCAAAAGTTGATTCTTAAAAATTTGCATTGCTTCGTTTGACCAGATTTGCAGGTTATGTATGCAGCAAATATCGGGATAATATATAGGAGTTTGTGAGTGATACTGGAAAATTATAAGCTTTATATACCCTGTATTAACTGCTTGTCAAATATCTTTCGACAATCGTGTATGCCCTGTTGTGTTTTAAGATTACACTCGATACCTTTTCCAGAAATGCAATTGTGATGTTGCCAACAGCTGTAAAGGGGAAGATATGCCCCACTTTCCCATTAGCGTATGTATACCAGTTTATGCTTTATAGGTATTAAAAGGAAGTGATTTCATCCAGTTTTCTTCGATTTGCTTTTCTGGAAAGAGACTTACTGGCACGGAACTCCATAGGTGCCACCGACATCCTTCTCAGATTGACACAATTTCCCTGCTTGAGCGTTAAAGTCACCAGCTAGAACAACTATGTCTGAGCGTTTAGTCTTTCCCACCAAACTAGACAGCTTTTGGTAGAACTCATCCTTCGTTTCATCTGAACTGCAGTCAGTGGGGGCGTAGGCGGAGATTACGAAAAGGCATCGGCGAGTAGTGCAGTCCTTCCTCCTTCTTACTGATCCGTTCAGGCTGCAGCACACATTCGGCTATCTACCGGGATCCAGTCAAGCAATGTCTTTTCTGCCCTAGTACTCAAAGCTATCCCTACGCCAGCTAATCCTCGTGAACTAGCTGTGGCATCTCCTGACACCCTCAAGGTGAATTTTGCAGATTCAACCTGTTGGCTAGGTGGGGTTAGGTGAATAACCACACTTGGGTCTTGTATGCGTGTTTCTGAAACACAGCATACATCAATGGCTCGTGATGCCAGGGTCTTGGCTAGTGATGCTTGTTGTCCTATTTGGCAAAGTGTCCTAACATTAAGAGCTCCTATATGAAATTGGTGGCGCGGCTTTAGGAGGCTGTCGGTGGTGGTTTTTTGGCTTCCATCGTTTTTAGTGGACGCAGAGTGGAGAGGAAGTGGAGAGCTATCAAGCCGAGGAGTTGCATAAGTGGAAGGAAGGCAAGATGATAGAGATGAGATGAAGACAAAGATGAGTGAGTAATAGAGAGGTTTCGTGTGCATTTCGGATTGTGAGGGCGATTGTTACTTCCCGGCTGCCCACACCGTGGAAGTTGGTTGCGTGACCGCAGAGCCCAGGGGACAACTGCTTGAGGCCGGTCACACGCGGCCTGTATTTGTTCGTTCTTTTTTGTTTGATGTGTCTCAGTAGCAGATTTATCACTCCCGCCCTGTGACACGGCAGCAGGAAGCGCGGTCGTTGTTAATCCGGGCCACGACCGATCCGGCATGAAGATTTAGATATTATAGAGAAGATTTGTAGCTCAGGTGGATGATTTTGATGCGGTTTTGTTCTCTGAGCTGGATGGTTAGTTTGCGAAGCTTTCATCACCTTACTGGGTGACATCTTCAGCGCATACTTCAAATTGAAGTATGCGCTGAAGATGTCACCCAGTAAGGTGATGAAAGCTTCGCAAACTAACCATCCAGCTCAGAGAACAAAACCACATCAAGATCCGGCATGAAATTTTGTAATTTTGTATTGGACATGATGTTGGATTGGGTAGCTGCTTTTTGTTTAACCGCTATCCAAACAACCTGCCTGGCATGGTAGAACCTCAAGAGACATAAGTCTCAGCCAGTATAGCTTGATTAGGTCATTGCGGTGTTCAAGCCCGACCACCACGTCAAAGTAGCAGCTTTCGGCCGGGATGGTAAAAACCAATGATAGTTGAAGACAACAATCGGTGATATGGCTCGAGGTCGTTCTCAGTCATGGCTGGCGCAGATGCATCCACTCCTTGTAAATTTTTATATCCAATGAAACTATATTATTCTTCAATATCACTATTCTTTTTGCTGCCTCTGTTTTGCATTTCTTTTACTTATTTTCTCTTACTCTGTGTGCTAAGTGATTTGTGGTGACTCGAACTGCTCCGCATCGGTGCTAAGTTCTACATTGAAGCCGGTCTCCACATTTCCCCCACACTGATAATATATACCTTGGACTGAGCTTTTCCACCGAACTTTCCTGGTCCTCCCACATCTTGCTAGTTACTAGGAAGATGTTTCGCTCAACGTTCTACGTTAGGAAGTTGAGGAAGTCTGGTATAAAGCAGTCTTTGCCTTCTCACTTTGTCAATTCTTGTATTCTACCCATCCACCTTTACTGCTCCCCATTAATCTTTCCTGGACTACTTAAGAAAGACTTAGCTTTGCTGAGAAGGGCAGGCACTAAAAGCCGTTAGTAGGGCAAGTGGGATACCGTTAAACCAACTGGTTAACACTATTGTGGATAGACACATAATGTCATGTAAGAAACTAGCGAATATAATATTGTCAAACCCCGAGCATCCTCTCTATACGCAGCTCTCTGCTTGCATTTCATCTGGTAGAACTAGAAGCAGCTATAGGCGGCTATATGCTAGGACTACGAAGTACAAAATCTCCACGATACCATATCTGGCACAGGTGTTATGTGATGAGAAATCCGTTAGGTATGACACGATCAACTTACTGCGGTACTCTAACAAATAGTTCCCATTAGTTTTTGTTTTCCTTTCCTCGTTTCTATTACACTGTTGTTCTCATGTCACACATCAACTTTATATTTCATATCCTGGGGTGCATTGTTTATCTTTTTTTGTGTTGCTTTTTTATTTTAAAATCTGGTAAAATTTATAAGGTAATTATATGCACTATATTTTAATGCACGCTGAAACTTCCATACCTGTACCACAAATACTGTTTGGAATAAAGCTATTATTATTATTAATATTATTATGTCATAGTGTCGCATTAGCAAAGATTACTTTAAGAGTTACTCTTGTCAACAAATATCCACTGAATGTTCAGTTCAGCCCATTGCTGTATAACATACTTAAATGTAAGTCTTAAATGACAAATATTTAGTGAATATGAATGAATACATCTTTCTGTGTGTTTTCTATTCCTAGCACTTATCGCTACATTTGGAGATGTCAATGCAGCTGTTGATAGACTACTCCAATCAAATCAATCAAGATAAAGTCCCTCCCTTAGCTTAGCTGCTCACACTAAAGAGATCAACACTACACCCTATACAGCACACACTCATTTGTCAAGGGAATGTGTTCATAAAGACTATGGCTTTCAACAGAAGGAGACTGGCCAATGTGTCTGTGTGTGCGTTTGTGTAATTTTTCGTTAGTCCGTTCAGTTTTGAAGTCACAGTTCTCTTCACAAATTTACTACTGCATTGACTATATCCACAAAAGTTGTATTCGTGTGTGTGTGCGCTCTATTCAGCAGTTTTTTGCGGTGCAGTAGACTTTTGCTGCTAAGCCTTCTCTCTCATTCTTTATGCTTGTTAGGACAATTTTTACTGTGCCTGTGTGTGTGTTTTCTGCATACTATTTCCCTATTATCAGCATCTTTTTTGCCCTGCCTCCGGCCCCCCTCCCCCGAAATATCACGCGCTGCGCACATCACTAACACTCCCATCTCCCCCTTCCCTCTCTTTCTCGCTCGCTCGCTCGCTCATTTACTCTCTGTTTTTGTCTGCCTCCTTTATTTTTCTGTTAATCTCTCTCCTTTGTGAATTGTGTTTACTACTTTACAATACTAATGATAATAATAATAATAATATTAATAATACTGTGAAACGAAATCGTAAATAGTTTCAATTTTATTTCTTTTTGTGATTTTGGTGTTTTTTGTTTCGACTCTTACTTATTTTCACATTATATATATTGTTGTTATTATTATTATTATTAATATTTAAGAAGGGAGGGAATACAATACAATAACTTTTGATGAATGCTAATGCTGCAGCGTATGTATCCTCCCGATGATTCCTAGTAAAAAAGACATTCGCGCATGGTCGGTTATTGTTTGTTTACTTCATATGTGGTGGACCACTTCAGTTGAAAATTGATGTGATCTATATAACATGAAAATATACACAATCTATATATATATATATATATATATATATATATATGCATATAATCAATATTGTTCTGTTTCTATATTTCTCAATAAATAAATACTATTCAAGTCTTGGTTTGTAGGGATTTGGTTGATTAGTTACAGGATTTCATTATGAGCTGTAACATTGGCTAGAGAACCATTGAAAAACCAACCACCTAGGAGAGTACTGTACAGCTGTTTGACTAGCGGTTGCGCTACCTCGTGAATTGACAGAAGTTAAAATTCATGGACTGGCCATTGGATCGTGTGGGACCCAGTGGCCCTATGGTATATTAGTTCATCAGCCTTGTCACCAGAAGGTCCTGGGTTCGAAACGCTGTGGTGGGTGCGTATGGGTACAAGCCTAGGTGGGAACATCATCACTCACTGCGGAATGTGCAGGCACATCCAGGTGGTGGACGAGTCCTGAATAGGATGAAATCCGCGTTATCCTGGATTCCACTGCCGATCACCATGCACCAATTAATTTACGACAGTATTTATGCAATCGAGTCCCAGTGGCTTAATGGTATACGAGCTCGCCTCGTAACCGGACCCGAATGTCCTGGGTTCGAATCCCGGTGAATGCGTACTGTTGCAGAGTCCCAGACTAGGCTGACGAGACAGCTGGCTGTCCAGTACTCCCAGGTGGGTTTTCCAATGGTTCTCTAACTAATGTCAGCTCATGATGAAATCCTGTAACCAAATAAATAATAATTTGAAAGAGTCGTCTGGTAGTGGTTGGTTGTTAGCATTGGAATCTAGGAGGCTGACTTCGTGTTCTATTAGGAACTCATCAGTTGGATGTGTCTTCATCCTAAGTATGAGAGAGTGGATAGTGTATTCGAACTAGGGGGCTAAAGTCCAGCAGATACATCCTGATATGATAAGATCTGAATAAGAAGACGAAATGCTGGTCCTGAACTCCACAGCTAACCAAATATCATCGTGAAATATGGGTCGTAGAGTAGTAGTAGTACCAAGTTATATAGGGTCATTGAATTTCACTTAACCATCAAGTAGGTAACTGTGTGTCGTTATCTGCTAGTTTTGCAGTTGGTATCTACTCTTACATCATTTGCTTTGTATGTAGGTGAGGTGAGCTTTTATTGGCTTACAACAAGCTTAGCTTTCAAGTCGGCACCATTATTATGTGTTTATCAATGATCGGTCATCAGGTGGTATCATCCAGCTTTTTTAACATGTAGTGCAACCAGATGTAACTCAGTACAATAAACCTACATTTGCCCACGTGATAACACTATATAAAGTATGATGATATCCGTTTTTGATGTAGTCGGATGCTGAGAATAATTGTAAGTGTGAAGCTTGACATTTCGAGTGAATCGACATCATGATTGTAGAAACATTGAAAGCTTTAAGGGCGAAATTCAACAATAGTGAATGCTTATATGTCCTTGAACGCTTGCTAGTCGTTGGTTGAGGAAACTTACGATTATTCTAGCGCAAAAATGAACGGTGTTCATCTGCCCAGATGCAAATTTCATCCAGATCACGTATTTCAATACTACCTGGATAATGAATTAATAAGACTTTCTCGTATGTGTAGTTATGGTGCTTCAATGAATCTGCGGCCGTATTCCCAAGTCATTGATGGATATATATTTAGATGTACACAGTGTAGGAAACGAATAAGTGTTCGTACTGGTAAGTGACACACCGAGTTAATTGTTTCCTAGGAACTTTCTTCGAAAGATCGAAACTTTCGTTGACCAGTATCCTGTTTCTGTGCGATTACTGCATTTTGAAGTCCAGAGTGAGATCAACTGCGGCTCAGACAGAAAATACGTCAAGGTCTACTGTGCAGTGGTTCCAATTTTGTCGAGATTTAGCATCGTGGAAAATCAACAATATTACTCAGATGTTGGGAGGAGTCGGTGTAGTTGTTCATATCGATGAAACGGTCCTTATAAAGAAGAAGTACCATCGAGGACGTGCTAGGGCAAATAACCTTTGGGTTCTAGGAATTTACAACACCCATTTCCGGAAAGGATTTATCGAACTTATTCCAGATAGGAGTGCTGACACACTCCTCCCTATTATTCAGAGGCTCGTCTTGCCAGGCACTACCATTCACACGGATGAATGGGCAGCATATAACCGATTATCCGATTTGGGATATATATACCATTCTGATGACTTCGTCGATCCCAGAAGCAGTACTCATACGAATTCAATAGAAGGTTTCTGGGAAAGACTCAGAAATAAAATAAGAGCTATAAACGGCTCTCAAAATCAAGTTTTTTTAGTCATCTGGATGAATACATGTATAAGAATTGGTTTAATTTAAAAACTGACGCTTCCCATTATAATTGGGACATCTTTTTACCTCATATTAGACAAAATACCCTGTTTAATGCTTTTTTTCATGCTTTTTTATGTAAATATACGTGATTTTTTGTGCAAAAATCCTTCATTTCTCTGATTGGTCGACTCAAGGTCACTCGTGCGTTCGCATCACTTGGGACGCTATTGTAGAAGTTTGTCGCTCACTTACTGTACTTACTGAATAGCTGTTCCATTCTAGCCCCGGTACGCTTCTCTGTGTGTCAAATCCGCAAATCTATTCGCGACTTACACTACAATTTTCTACTGTGACTGAAATTTTTCAAATCACTAAAAATTTGGTGGTTAGCATGATAAAATGGTAATTGAGAAAGCAAGTCTAGATGCATGACGCCACGTACTAGCGATTGATTGATTGATTGATGTGTGGATGAGTCGTTGGATGCCAGTTACATCAGTCAGTCAGTCAGTAGTACTCCCTAGCCAGGTCGAAGTGATCTTAACACAGGACATCCGTGTTGCTCGTGGGTCTGCTTTAACTCATTCTAAAGAGAGTCAGACTAGTTCAAACCAACCGAATTTTGGCTAGCTGCCTGTTCTGGTCCAAACAGTGATACATCAAATCAAATTTGCAAATAGATTCGCGATTTTTGATTTACGCAGCTGTCTGAGCTGATTCAAAATAGGGTACACTGAATGAGGAAGGTGATGTGAGTAAAGGAGAATGATGCTCAGGAAGGCTTGGTGTGCTTTTGGAAGTGTGTGAGTGATTGTTACTTTCCGGCTGACCACACCGTGGAAGTTGATAGATTCTTCGGGTACCTGAAACAGAAAGAGGGTTAGTGTTGCGTGACCAAAAAGCCCAGGGGACTACTGCTCGAGGCTGGCCGGTCACACACGGCCTGTATGAACTGGCTTCTGGGATTGGTTCTGTATTGGTAAACTTACCGTCGGTTACGGACCATCACCATAGGGTAAGTTGAGATGTACAATTTTTGGGGTTGACTTTTTCTAACGCCCTCTCTCCGGATTGGAGAGACAGCATAGCTAGCTGACATGCTGGTCATCTGAGGGAAGCACTTCACTGCTGTTACACCCCTGTTCCCCAGCAGTACGTCTACGCCCTCAGACCCCCCAGCAGAGTGTAAGAAAGATTCTTACACAATGTCTGTGACTGCTTTTAGTCTAATCGCTATCCTAACAACCTTCCTGGCATGGTAAGGTCTGCAGGAGCAATAGTTCCAGCCAGTGTAGCTTGTTGAGTCATTGTGATATGCAAGCCCGGCGACCACCACGTCAAGAGTACACCGTTGATGAGCTCCACTCCTAAATGGACGAAACGGTCGTGGGCTGATTAGCTCACCAGTACTACTGGATAGTGTGACCAGTGGTGTTTAAGTACTTATATCAACCAATCAGAAGTGTTTTGTGGTGTCATGCTTCATCGGTGTGTATGCCTATCAACACTCACCACTTCGGGAATTTAATCCGGGATTTTCAAGTTGTGTGTATGTGTGTGTGGATATCCCGTTGACCATTCAATCGCCAGTGTATGGATACTCTTGAATGTTCATGAATTATATACCAATGACCAATTCATGTTTAAGATATCACAACGTGTACAACATTAGGTGCTGAACTCTATCTAGTCTGAATAGGAGTATCAGTACTAGAATACAAACACAGTGAATGTGTAGATTCTTAAATAGAATGGACCACGTATCATGCATCCAATAGTTATTTCATACACATATAATACTTTTTCGTAGTGTATATATACACATGTGACGATATTGTTAATGTGAAGGTTAAAATACTGCCAGGGTGCCCAAACTGAAGCAGGCAGTTGCCTTAATTAAGCGACTGCCCCTCGAGCCTTTCACCTGATGTTTCATCCATAAGACCAGCGTCAGGAGCGCTACCTTCCTATGGTCACTGGTGACCAATACAGGTTCGTACGCTATTCGCTCCAATTGGATTCTGGAGCCCATGATAACTGCTTTTAGTCTAACCGTTATTCAAACACATCCTCTTATCATGGTAAGACCTGTAGGAACAGCTAGTAACCAGCTAGTGTAACTTGTGTTGGGTCATCGAGATATGCAAGCCTGACCACCGCCATTGTCGGTGGGGTATACGGTGATAGGCAACAAAGAATCTTTCTCTTTCTCTCCCTTTCAAAGGCATAAGGTAACTAAGTAAAACTTACAGGTTTTTAATGAAAACACATCGACATCTATTTTAAGTACAACTTTAAGACTCATGATTTTCTTCACTTCTTCTAATTTCTTCATCTACTGGTTGTTTTTTAGTCTTCCCGACAGATTTACTCATATTTCCATTGGTATTCTTCTTCTCTTGTCTTGTCTTGTCAACAATTCTTGGTAATTCTAGAGATTTATTATTGTGATTATGATGTGTGCTCCTTTCATATATATTGCATGATTTACTTCGTGGATTAATATCATCCACTGTTGTTGTTGATGTTGATGACTGTGTTTTCATCTGACGACAACCAGTAGTGAATGCTGGTAATAGCCGTGGAATGGGAGGAGGAGGAGGAGCAACAGCAGTACCAGCAGGAACTGAAGGTGGTAGCGGTATCGGCGGCGGAGGACGTGGCAGTATAAAAGTTTCATTCTTATTTGTAGACAATTTGTTGCAATAACTTCTGTCAGTTGTTTGTAGTAGATGGGCTTGAATAAGCTTCAGCTTTCGTTGTGCATCAAAGTGGATTTGTTTTAAATATCGTAAAATTTCAATGTTCAATGGTTCATCATGTTTAAGATTGTGGATTTTTGTTTCTAACTGTAAAAGTAAAGAAAAACAGGTCAGGACACTCATATTTTGAGTTTTGTACCTTTTAAATATAAACGTAACCTCGTGAAGTGTCTGGCTCATAGAGCTAGGTTAATCTGTTCAGATGACTGCCTCAATGAGGAGCTTAAGATTATTACAGAATTACTTAGAAAAAATGGCTATCCAGATAAATTCATTGAGAAAAATATGAATTCAGCTACAAGGAGAGTCAGTATGACCACAGTTCCGAAAAAACCAATGTTCATAAAATTGCAGTTCCTCGGTGACAACATCAGCGAAATAATAACACAGCGCCTGAAGAATGCAGTTAAAAGAGCTTATTATGCAGCAGAGGTACGTTGTCTCTTCACAACCACCATATTCTACGTTCGAGGAATAAGGATAAACTACCTAAATTCGCCTCTTCTATGTGTATCTACCAGTTTGACTGCATCTGCGGAGCCAGCTACATTGGGCGTACAACTAGGCAGGTTCATCATCGTATTTCCGAACATCATCCAACATGGTGAAGCCAAGGACAAACAAGATCTATTCGTAGTTCTATTTTAGCCCACCTCGTTGATACTGAGCATAAGACTGATGTGAATACTGCATTTAAAATTATTTATCGCATTCCGACTTATCTTAATTTTGCTCTGCGAGTTCGTCTTCTTCAGACGGCTGAAGCAGTCGGAATTCACCTGAAGAAGCCAAGCCTATGTGTACAGAAAAAATTTGTACAGCCACTTTCCCTACCGTCGCCATCGGCACAAGAATGCATAAACAGGACTACGTCGCCCCCTTCCCCTAAACCTATAAAAATTATAATTGTCTAAATTATTTATTTTATTTTTACTTATTTTGACCACTTCATCTTTAATTTACGTGTTATCCTTGTAAAATTAATTTATTCTATCCATTTCTACCTTTTAAATCTGTATTGATTTTCTTCGTTAATTATTATTAACCCATTGACATTTTGACACTGTTAAATTATTGTTAGCAAACTTATCGCCACTTGATTGGCAAACTGTTGTATTGAAATTAAAATGCTATATATATTAGAGTAGAGCCAGAGATGAGGATCTAATTGAAAAGTAAATATTTCTTCGCTCAATCTTTCTGTTTTCTAAAAAAAATATACGTATTAGATGGTTGGAGGCAATCGGCTACGGGGAGCCTTGCCAGGACTTAGGTTTCATGCCAGTTTTGGCACTTGTTGGTAAGGCATATCTGCAACTTCCTTTGAAGGAACTCATGTCCCTTCTGAGATTCGAATTTATGTCACCCAGTGAGTGAGTACTACAGTCAGATGCATTACAACTGAAACAGTATTATTTACTGATTTAAGAAATTCACCTACTTATGAATTATCTAAATATTTAGCCATGGTATTAAATCCCTTGAAAAGCCACTCAAAATCTAGACTAACTAATTCTTATGAACTAAAACACAGATTAGATAATGAAGCGAAAATGGTTAGTTTTGACATTGTCAGTTTATATACACGTATACCGATAATAAATATACGGCTATAGAAGCAGTCAGAAACGAACTCATTTCTGACCAAGAACTTAAACTTAGGACAAAAGTGCCACTTGAGGATATAATGCTAGGAGTGCATCAGCTATGCCTGACTACCACAGTATTTAAATTCCAAGGGAAAATATACAAACAAACTGAGGGAGTTGCCATGGGATCACCAATATCCCCGGTGGTAGCAGATATATTCATGGATAGGTGGGAAAAGGTAGCGATTGAAACGTTCACCCCCACCCCGAAAGTATGGTGGAGATATGTAGATGACACATTCATGTACTTAGAACACAGGAAATAGATAGATTTTTCAAACACATTAACTCAAAGGTGGAGGAAATTCAATTCACTTATGAATTAGAAAGTCAGGAAGGGGAGCGTCCAATGTTCGATTGCAGCGTAAAAAAGAAAGAAAATGCAAAGTTAAACACTAGTGTTTATAGGAAACCCACACATTCAAACAGATATTTGGACTTCCGATCATCCCATCCTATGTCAGTAAAAATAGGATTGGTGAAACATTTAAATGATAGAGCTCAAAAACTAAGTAGTACCAAGGGAAATGTAAGACAGGAAGTGATACACATGAAAGAAGCCTTGAAACTTAATAATTACCCTGATAAATTAGTCAGGAAATATGTAAGGAAATGTAAAAATAAAATGAATAATGATAGTAGCGACAGTGATAATAATAATGTTAATGACGACACCAACAATAAGGAATCTAAATCATCAACAGTAATTCCATACAAGGAAGTAACCTCGGAAACCACCTTACACAGAATTCTTAACAAGGCAGGAATAAAAGTGGCTGGCATTCAAACCAACCACAAACTCAATTAGAAACAATCTTTGTCGATTAAAGGATCCTGTCTGTGGAGCCTTTAAAACAAAACAATTTAGTTTAACTAATACCCTGCCTGCAATGGTTGTCAGGTCAAATACACAGGTCAAACTAGTAGAACAGGGGCAGTCAGTCAGACTAGTCGAGCATAAAAACCTAGCAAAATCTAGAGTGGTTGACCCAAATAAGATAAGAAATCTAGGGAACAGTTCAGCTATAGCACTCACTGCATGTAATTACAGTTTTAAAATCTATTGTCACAGGGTGGAGGAAGAGATTGATAACAGAAGCTTTGTTTATCGAATCAACTGCAAATACATGTAATAGGAATGATTCAACACCTGTTCAGACGGATATCTGGAAAATCCTACTACCCCTACGACGGCAAATAGGAGAGGATCAAGAAAACTATAAAACTCAAGTTTCAAACTCGTGTGATTACAATTGATATGATTATGAACAGCAATAAATTTTGTTCGAAACAGTGTCATCCACTAAATAGTAATACTGTTTCACTGTGTGATACATCTAATAAACAAACTAATATGAAATTGTATACTACCACAGTTCCCAAGTTTTACACATATATTAGCATTACCACTGAACTATTCGGGCTAGCGATTGACAAAGTATGCAATGCAATCCTACAAGAAGTGGTTAGTCGTGTACCCGAATAGCTCAGTGGTAACATTTCTGACTGCAGTACTCACTGGGTGACACGGATTCGAATTTCAGAAGGCATATGAGTTGCTTCAAGGTTGGAGATACGTCTCGCTGACTGGTGAATGCCAACTAGCATAAAACGCAGGTCATGGCAGGGCTTCCTGCTAACTGCCTCCAACCATCTAATATCATCAAATCAATGTGCACCGTGATATGGCGAGCTACCTAGGCTGGTGTCTACATTGCAAACTTGACCGAGAGAATTCAGTGTGCACCAAGCAAAGGACTAGACACATCACAATAGTTACTGGTGTCCAATCAAAAATATGTATTTATGTGTAGATGTATATAAAGAAGATCATGGGTTTGAACAATAGCTGACATCAGTTAGAAAATCAGACAGCACTAGACAACTGTTTCGTCCTATCTTGGGACTCTTCATCACTACGCACCCACGGAGGTTTGAAACTCTGGCCTTCCGGTTATAACGCGAGCTCGTAGACCATTCAGTCAGTGGAACCTCTCCCAATGACCAGCCCGTGAATTCCAACTTCTACCAGTTCATGGTGTGCGTCGGTGGCATAGCGGTTAGCACACTCGCCGACCACGCACACGGTACGGGGTTCGATCCCCGGCCACAGACGCACTCCTTTACCTCACTAAGCCAGTAATAGAGCTGGCAAAGAGAACGTTAGGCATGAAGCTAGCAACCCCATCCTGTAAAAATAAACAATGCTACAGAAACTTCAAGCCTCTAGCTTGAAGCCCTATGTTCCACTGGGAACGTGAAGGAAAAAAATACCGGTTCATGGTATATATAACTCAACTATCAGCCATTGTCACAGGCGATTAACTGTTCTTTGATTGGAAATTGGTCAGTGACTAGTGTGGTGTGTGTCTAGTCCTTTGTTTGGTGTACACGGAATTCTGTCAGTGCCAACTAGCACGAAACCTGGATCCAAAGTTTTGTGCCGATTGCCTCTAACTATCTAATATCAGCCATCCAAAGAGTAACCGTTCTCTTATCTAATTTGATGGACCCTACAGGTCATAAGTTCTTATTAGAACTCCAGTTAACCTCCTTGCAAAGAGCCATTCCCTAGTGAGCATCAGATTCATAGGGTCAGGCTGGAAAAGAGCTAGCGGCGGTTAAACAAAAACATGGCGGCACCAGTCAATGAAATCCACAACAGTTAGTTTTAGCCACGCAGGAAGATGTAGACTTCCTAACTGGTTGAGGTCTTCTGGACGGTTAAAACCAATGGTGGCTGGAAACAATTGATGATATGGCTCAAAATCGTTCTCAATGGCTGGTGCAGATGCATTCACTCCTTGTGACTTATGGTTACCAATAAAACTATATTGTTCTTCGTCATTGCTATTCCTTTGTCTCACACCTCTGTTTATGCATTTCTTCTACTTTCTTGTCTTGCTTTGTGTGCTACATGGAGTGTGGCGACTTGAACTGCCGCACATCGGTGCAAAGTTCTATGTCGAAAACAGACAGACAGAGCATCGGATTAATTATCAAATGTTGGTTTGCTGAGATTTCATTGGTTACAGGTTTGATCACGAACTGGCTTGAGTTAGAGAAACATTGAAAACAAGAGAGTGAGTAGTCAACACCTGACTCGTTTTAATTTGAGGCTATCTCCCAACAGTACACCCCCCCCGATGATCCCATCCACCAGCGACAGAACTCAGGAGCTACAGATTACAAAGCTGGCTTGTTGATTATTCACATTAGTTAATAAAGCGTTCGTTTTTAGGGACATGACTGACTTCAATTGAAGCCCTCACTAATGTAACTGACTGCAGAGTAGAGTTGTCCAAAGTTGTTCTACTGAGGAAGTCGTAACCAGCAGAGTCAACGATATTGGGCGTGAGGACAGGCACCTATGATACTGGCCAGCAGTTGTGCTATATATCGCATTGTTAGGTCATTGGATTCTGTCTCAGTGACTAG